ACCCTGTACTTCACTGCTTGCCATTATAAGGGGAAGAAGACTGCACTGATGACACCGTGTGGCCCACAGTAGCACAGATTATAATAGCAGTTAACAAATGCACAGTCTCAGTAAATGTCTTGAAGGACCACTTTGGTGGTCTGAAGGGGGAGGTTGCATTACTTGGTCAGCATATACAGAAAATTAGAGAATGAGCTACAGAGGACAAGCTGCCCCTCCTTATATGTGACTCACAGTCGACTTCAAAACTGGCTAAAGCAAATAATCTTTGGGGAGATGACACTGAAAATAGACTCTGCCGCAATAATGTGTGTATAGTGGGGCTGCCAGAAAACAGTGAAACCCCATGGATTTTGTGGAGCATTGGCTGATTGATGTGTTTGATAAAGATGCTTTTAACCATTTGTATGCCGTGCAACGCACCCACAGAACTCCCCCCCTCACCCACTGCCACCAGGACACCCACTGAGTCCCATGCTGGTATGGCTACTAAATTTTAAAGATAATTCTCAGACCAGCCCGGGAACGTCAGGACATCCAATACAATGGTGTCCTTCTATTCTGACTCCTCCGCGGAAGTCCAACAAAAATAGGCAATATTTGCCAAAGTTAAGACGTATCCAGTGGCTCCAGGTGTCCTACGCCATGTTATACCCCACTAAACTGCGAATTACTGCTAGGGGCCAATCCCACTTTTTTGAGTCTGCATCGGAGGCCTCTTCTTGGCTGGATGTCAATGAGAATTCCATTCAACGAAACCAACAACTGGCCGGTGAGGACTGAATACTTGAATATATGGCCTTACCGCACCCCCTTTTATTAACTGTGGCTGGAGAAAACCATTCCTTTTTTTCCCACCACACAGTGAGCAGCAGATGGCTTTCCTGAATATTTGTGTTGCACTTTGTGCGCTCTTCAAGACACTCTTAGCAGCCTTCAGTTTGGATCTCTTTTACTACTGGTCACATCGAAAGTATCCTTAGTTGTTATTGACCTCCACCACTTTATGCTGTTGCATCTCTGGAGAACGTTAACTGTCTCCTACTATGCTTTGCACATTGCCTTTTAAGTATCTTCATTTTTCTCCTGGCACTGTTGCCTATTTTGTAGTTCGTACTTAGCAATTAATCCTCAGAGCATCATTTCAGCCTTGCAGCTTACCTTACTTTCATTTCAGTACTCCATGCCAAAACGTACTGAACAATATTATTATTATTATACAGTATTTATATAGTGCCAATGGTTTGATCAGCGCTGTACATTATAATGGGAGACAGTACACGAGACAGTACAGTAAAAATACAATTCTATACACGAGGGGTTCGAGGTCCCTGCTCCTTGGAGCTTACAATCTAGGAGGGAAGGGATAGTGGTACAGGAGGAAATAGCTGTGGGGGATGGAGTGGCAGGAAGAGTGGAGTTCGGCAATTAGCTGAGGGCGGGGTAGGCTTCCCTGAAGAGATGGGTCTTCAGGGTGCATCTAAAGTAGAGTTTGTTCCACACCACTAAAACTATCCGGAGACCAAGGCAACACTCTACCCTGCCTACATCCATTCCAAATGGAGACTCACCTCATGTGGGACACTACTGGTTGCCTGAAATACCCATAGGGTGGGTGGGCATACCATTCAAATCATACATGTTACTTGCAACGAGTGAGCGTACTGATCCACAAGTCCTTGGACTCTCAAGAGCTGGACTATATGATAGATTCGAGGGCAGATTTGTTTTTATTTATTGTTAAGTTATATGCTGTGACTTGCATACTAGCCTTTGCTTACATCCTGCCACTTTTTTTCAGAGAGGTCTTAAAACTCCTCTTGGAATACCAAATGGGCAAACCTGACACACCTCTGCTACTTATGGGGGAATTCAATGGCTAACTCAACCCAATTTTGGATAGGAACCCACCGCACCCTAGCTTGGCACACGCAAGGGCAATACCCTCTCTCGCTTTTTACAGGAGGTTGGGTGGATTGACATATGGCGACATAAACACCCGCTGAGAAACATTTCTCATACTTTTCCAAGATCCATGTCTCTCTCTTTCAAATGAACCTGTGCATAGGTACCTGTCTTCACATTTACCTTCTCAGCTGTCTGAAAATATTGTTTCACCAAATCCTCCACCCGCAGCGTTGAGAACTCTGAGGACTGCCTAGCTTCAAATTTTCCGAAATTAATTGCAATGTTATCTGCAAAGAAAAACGAGATGTTTACCATCTAGAAAAAGCAGAGCAGGTGTTATGTGCTCACACCCAGTAAGACATACATGGCCTTGAAAACAACACTTTGCATGAGGTTCACATATCAAAGAGATATTAAATGTGCTGAAGAGGCGCAGAGCTAATGTCACATCACACAGCTAGAAATCATACATCAAAACACCACCTGGCTCCCAAACACACACATGCAAAGCAATATCATCCAACAGATTTTATGTTTCAGCTATAAATAACAGTAAAGAACCAGCCCTTACATACAACTGAAAGCATATCCAAGAGCTGAATGAAAAGTAAAAAAACAATTACAAAATCAAACTGTAATGTAGTATTACAAAATCATGTTCTCTGTCATGGAATCAATAAAGAATAGTGTTCATTCCAAAAATTGGGCTTTTGCATTTGGAAAATTTTAATATGGCCTGTTTCACACATGCTTCAGCTTGTATGAGAGCGGTATGAACAGCATGCTTTGGCAAAGCATTTGCAGAGCTTTCAGCAGGCTTTAATAAAGCTTTTACAGCACCAACTCCAGTGTGCAAATGTTGAACACAGATCCCAATGGGAGTACAGATTGTCACTTTAAGCAAGCTGATAGCAGGCCAATCAGAGTCTGTCAACATTTATAAACTGTAGCTGAATGGTACTTTAAAAGCTTCAACAAAGCCTGCTGAAAGCTCTGCAAATGCTTTGTCAAAGATTGTTTGTTCACACTGCTTGTATACAGGCTAAAGTCTGTGTGAAACACGCCTACCTGACCAGTTTTAAAGACTAACTCCAGGTTTTGTGTTACTTTAAATAGTACATTTAGGCCAAGTGGGCCCAAACAAACTACTTCCTTTGCTAGAAAATGCACCAGCTGGCAGCACTGTAAAAATTGTATGTAGTATCAACTACATATAGCATACAGCTCTGTGTTCCAGCAGCGGTACGGAAACTTTCCCATCCAAAATTGTGTCAGTTTGAGCGCCATCATTCGCTGGAAGCTTTGTATTTTATCATTGAACACAAGGCTTCCTTATTGGCTCAGCTGGTGAATTTGACATCAGCCACCCTCCTCTCAATCAGACTAATGCAGGCCATAGATGGGGAGAAAAACGGCAGATTTTTCTTTTAAAAAACGAAAATTCGGTCGTTCAAGCGGCCGACGTTACCATCAATGGTAAAAAAAAAATCGGCCGATTTTCATCCCGTCTACTGCCGGCAAAACGTGTCCCTGCAGAGAGCTCCGCTATTTCTGACAGTTCTCTGACAGTTCCTTCACATTTACAGCAGTTGAAACATTGTATCTATTTGTTTCCATTTAGGATACAGATGTTTTTATTCGGAAACAAATAGATACATTGTTGCAACCGCTGTAAATGTCAAAGAACTGTCAGAAATAGCGGAGCTCTCTGCAGAGACACTTTTTGCTGGACTGGAATAATTCTTCTTCTTCTTCATCCTCGTCCTCGTCCTCTTCTTCTTCTTCCTCGTCCTCTTCTTCTTCTTCTTCCTCGTCCTCTTCTTCATCCTCTTCTTCTTCTTCATCCTCTTCTTCTTCATCCTCATCCACTTCTTCTTCCTCACCCTCTTCTTCTTCATCCTCATCTTCATCCTCATCTCTCATCCTCTTCTTCTTCTTCTTCTTCTTCTTCATCCTCATCCTCTTCTTCATCCTCATCCTCCTCATCCTCTTCTTCTTCATCCTCATCCTCTTCTTCTTCATCCTCATCCTCTTCTTCTTCATCCTCATCCCTCTTCTTCTTCATCCTCATCCTCTTCTTCTTCATCCTCTTCTTCTTCTTCATCCTCTTCTTCTTCTTCATCCTCTTCTTCTTCATCCTCATCCTCCTCTTCTTCCTCACCCTCTTCTTCTTCATCCTCATCTTCATCCTCTTCTTCTTCTTCATTCTCTTCTTCTTCATCCTCATCCTCTTCTTCCTCTTCCTCTTCTTCTTCGTCCTCTTCTTCTTCATCCTCATCCTCCTCTTCTTCATCCTCATCCTCCTCTTCTTCATCCTCTTCTTCTTCTTCATCCTCTTCTTCTTTTTGTCTTCCTCTTGCAGGTCACTGCTCATGCGCAGATTTTTTTATCGGCAAAAAAATCGGCCGATTTGCCCACTAATTGCCGCGAAAATCGGCCGATCGGCAAAATAGGTCGATTTTTTTTCCAACTTTACAGAAAAAAAAAAAACGGCCAAAATACCGAAAAACGGCCGACCAAATAGCCCACTAACGATCTGAAAATCGGCCGATTTTTTTTTTTTCGGCCGAAAAATCGGCCGATTTTCGACCCATCTATGGCCTGCATAAGCCTTTTTTCATTCAGGAAAATAAAAGGTTTCCTTCCTGACTCAATTGTATTCTGGGAATGGGAGAGGAAATCCCTGTACAGCGGCAGATACACAATACTATAATGTACCGTATTTTTCGCTCCATAAGATGCACTTTTTTCCACCCAAAAAAAGGGGGAAAATGTCAGTGCGTCTTATGGAGCGAATATGGAGCGGCCAGTCTGGTATTTCCACCGCCGCCGCCATGTCAGAATACCGGGCCGGCCGCTCAGCTCTTCTCTGCAGCAGGACCTTACCTGTTCCTCGGTCCAGCGCTGTACAGTCTTCCCGCGCCGGCATCTTTAGTGTGGGCACCCGGCTGTGGAAGTGGGACCGGATATCTGTCAAATTCAGATACCCGCGCCCACTCCCTCCCCAAAGGTCCGCAGTCTCTTCGTCATCCCCTTTACTGTCTGCAATCTCTGGTCATCCCCTGTACTGTGTCCGCAGTCTCTGGCCATCTCCTGTACTATGTCTGCAGTCTCTGGTCATCTCCTTTACTGTGTCCGCAGTCTCTGGCCATCTCCTGTACTTTGTCCGCAGTCTCTGGTCGTCCCCTGTACTGTGTCCACAGTATCTGGTCATCCCCTGTACTGTGTCCGCAGTCTCTGGTCATCCCCTGTACTGTGTCCGCAGTCTATTGTCATCTGTACTGTGTCCGCATTCTCTGGTCATCCCCTGTACTATGTCCGCAGTCTCTGGTCATCTCCTGTACTGTGTCCACAGTTTCTGGCCATCTCCTGTACTGTGTCTGCAGTTTCTGGCCATCTCCTGTACTTTGTCCGCAGTCTCTGGTCGTCCCCTGTACTGTGTCCGCAGTCTCTGGTCATCCCCTGTACTGTGTCCGCAGTCTCTGGTCATCTCCTGTACTTTGTCCGCAGTCTCTGGTCGTCCCCTGTACTGTGTCCGCAGTCACTTGTCATCCCCTGTACTGTGTCCGCAGTCTCTGGTCATCTCCTGTACTATGTCCGCAGTCTCTGGTCATTTCCTGTACTGTGTCCGCAGTTTCTGGCCATCTCCTGTACTTTGTCCGCAGTTTCTGGCCATCTCCTGTACTTTCTCCGCAGTCTCTGGTCGTCCCCTGTACTGTGTCCACAGTATCTGGTCATCCCCTGTACTGTGTCCGCAGTCTCTCTCTTGTCATCTGTACTGTGTCCGCAGTCTCTGGCCATTTTCTGTACTTTGTCCGCAGTCTCTGGCCATCTCCTGTACTATGTCCGCAGTCTCTGGTCATCTCCTGTACTATGTCCGCAGTCTCTGGTCATCTCCTGTACTATGTCCGCAGTCTCTGGTCATCTCCTGTACTGTGTCCGCAGTCTCTGGTCATCTCCTGTACTGTGTCCGCAGTTTCTGGCCATCTCCTGTACTTTGTCCGCAGTCTCTGGTCGTCCCCTGTACTGTGTCGACAGTATCTGGTCATCCCCTGTACTGTGTCCGCAGTCTCTTGTCATCTGTACTGTGTCCGCAGTCTCTGGCCATCTCCTGTACTATGTCCGCAGTCTCTGGTCATCTCCTGTACTATATCCGCAGTCTCTGGTCATCCCCTGTACTATATCCGCAGTCTCTGGTCATCCCCTGTACTATGTCAGCAGTCTCTGGTCATCCCCTGTACTATGTCCGCAGTCTCTGGTCATCGCCTGTACTATGTCCGCAGTCTCTGGTCATCGCCTGTACTATGTCCGCAGTCTCTGGTCATCCCCTGTACTATGTCCGCAGTCTCTGGTCACCACCTGTACTATGTCCGCAGTCTCTCGTCATCCCCTGTACTGAGTCCGCAGTCTCAGGTCATCCCCTGTACTGTGTCCGCAGTCTCTGGTCATCCCCTGTACTGTGTCCGCAGTCTCTGGTCATCCCCTGTACTGAGTCCGCAGTCTCTGGTCATCCCCTGTACTGAGTCCGCAGTCTCTGGTCATCCCCAGTACTGAGTCCGCAGTCTCTGGTCATCCCCAGTACTGAGTCCGCAGTCTCTGGTCATCCCCTGTACTGAGTCCGCAGTCTCTGGTCATCCCCTGTACTATGTCCGCAGTCTCTGGTCATCTCCTGTACTATGTCCGCAGTCTCTGGTCATCTCCTGTACTATGTCCGCAGTCTCTGGTCATCTCCTGTACTATGTCCGCAGTCTCTGGTCATCTCCTGTACTGTGTCCGCAGTTTCTGGCCATCTCCTGTACTTTGTCCGCAGTCTCTGGTCGTCCCCTGTACTGTGTCCGCAGTCTCTTGTCATCCCCTGTACTGTGTCCGCAGTCTCTGGTCATCTCCTGTACTATGTCCGCAGTCTCTGGTCATCTCCTGTACTATGTCCGCAGTCTCTGGTCGTCCCCTGTACTGTGTCCGCAGTCACTTGTCATCCCCTGTACTGTGTCCGCAGTCTCTGGTCATCTCCTGTACTATGTCCACAGTCTCTGGTCATCTCCTGTACTATGTCCGCAGTCTCTGGTCATCTCCTGTACTATGTCCGCAGTCTCTGGTCATCTCCTGTACTGTGTCCGCAGTTTCTGGCCATCTCCTGTACTTTGTCCGCAGTCTCTGGTCGTCCCCTGTACTGTGTCCGCAGTCTCTTGTCATCCCCTGTACTGTGTCCGCAGTCTCTGGTCATCTCCTGTACTATGTCCGCAGTCTCTGGTCATCTCCTGTACTATGTCCGCAGTCTCTGGTCGTCCCCTGTACTGTGTCCGCAGTCACTTGTCATCCCCTGTACTGTGTCCGCAGTCTCTGGTCATCTCCTGTACTATGTCCGCAGTCTCTGGTCATCTCCTGTACTATGTCCGCAGTCTCTGGTCATCTCCTGTACTATGTCCGCAGTCTCTGGTCATCTCCTGTACTATGTCCGCAGTCTCTGGTCATCTCCTGTACTGTGTCCGCAGTTTCTGGCCATCTCCTGTACTTTGTCCGCAGTCTCTGGTCGTCCCCTGTACTGTGTCCGCAGTCTCTTGTCATCCCCTGTACTGTGTCTCTGGTCATCTCCGCAGCAGTCTCTGGTCATCTCCTGTACTATGTCCGCAGTCTCTGGTCATCTCCTGTACTGTACTTGTCCGCAGTCTCTTGGTCATCTCCTGTACTATGTCCGCAGTCTCTGGTCATCTCCTGTACTGTGTCCGCAGTTTCTGGCCATCTCCTGTACTTTGTCCGCAGTTTCTGGCCATCTCCTGTACTTTGTCCGCAGTCTCTGGCCATCCCTGTACTTTTCTCCGCTGGTCTGGTCCCCTGTACTGTGTCCACAGTATCTGGTCATCCCCTGTACTGTGTCCGCAGTCTCTTGTCATCTGTACTGTGTCCGCAGTCTCTGGCCATTTTCTGTACTTTGTCCGCAGTCTCTGGCCATCTCCTGTACTATGTCCGCAGTCTCTGGTCATCTCCTGTACTATGTCCGCAGTCTCTGGTCATCTCCTGTACTATGTCCGCAGTCTCTGGTCATCTCCTGTACTATGTCCGCAGTCTCTGGTCATCTCCTGTACTATGTCCGCAGTCTCTGGTCATCTCCTGTACTGTGTCCGCAGTCTCTGGTCATCTCCTGTACTGTGTCCGCAGTTTCTGGCCGTCTCCTGTACTTTGTCCGCAGTCTCTGGTCGTCCCCTGTACTGTGTCCACAGTATCTGGTCATCCCCTGTACTGTGTCCGCAGTCTCTTGTCATCTGTACTGTGTCCGCAGTCTCTGGCCATCTCCTGTACTATGTCCGCAGTCTCTGGTCATCTCCTGTACTATATCCGCAGTCTCTGGTCATCCCCTGTACTATGTCCGCAGTCTCTGGTCATCCCCTGTACTATGTCCGCAGTCTCTGGTCATCCCCTGTACTATGTCAGCAGTCTCTGGTCATCCCCTGTACTATGTCCGCAGTCTCTGGTCATCGCCTGTACTATGTCCGCAGTCTCTGGTCATCGCCTGTACTATGTCCGCAGTCTCTGGTCATCCCCTGTACTATGTCCGCAGTCTCTGGTCATCACCTGTACTATGTCCGCAGTCTCTCGTCATCCCCTGTACTGAGTCCGCAGTCTCTGGTCATCCCCTGTACTGAGTCCGCAGTCTCTGGTCATCCCCTGTACTGTGTCCGCAGTCTCTGGTCATCCCCTGTACCGTGTCCGCAGTCTCTGGTCATCCCCTGTACTGAGTCCGCAGTCTCTGGTCATCCCCTGTACTGAGTCCGCAGTCTCTGGTCATCCCCATTACTGAGTCCGCAGTCTCTGGTCATCCCAGTACTGAGTCCGCAGTCTCTGGTCATCCCCTGTACTGAGTCCGCAGTCTCTGGTCATCCCCTGTACTATGTCCGCAGTCTCTGGTCATCTCCTGTACTATGTCCGCAGTCTCTGGTCATCTCCTGTACTATGTCCGCAGTCTCTGGTCATCTCCTGTACTGTGTCCGCAGTCTCTGGTCATCTCCTGTACTGTGTCCGCAGTTTCTGGCCATCTCCTGTACTTTGTCCGCAGTCTCTGGTCGTCCCCTGTACTGTGTCCGCAGTCTCTTGTCATCCCCTGTACTGTGTCCGCAGTCTCTGGTCATCTCCTGTACTATGTCCGCAGTCTCTGGTCATCGCCTGTACTATGTCCGCAGTCTCTGGTCATCTCCTGTACTATGTCCGCAGTTTCTGGCCATCTCCTGTACTTTGTCCGCAGTTTCTGGCCATCTCCTGTACTTTGTCCGCAGTCTCTGGTCATCTCCTGTACTTTGTCCGCAGTCTCTGGTCGTCCCCTGTACTGTGTCCACAGTATCTGGTCATCCCCTGTACTGTGTCTACAGTCTCTTGTCAACTGTACTGTGTCCGCAGTCTCTGGCCATTTCCTGTACTTTGTCCGCAGTCTCTGGCCATCTCCTGTACTATGTCCGCAGTCTCTGGTCATCTCCTCTACTGTGTCCGCAATCTCTGGCCATCTCCTGTACTTTGTCCACAGTCTCTGGTCATCTCCTCTACTGTGTCCGCAATCTCTGGCCATCTCCTGTACTTTGTCCACAGTCTCTGGCCATCTCCTGTACTATGTCCGCAGTCTCTGGTCATCTCCTCTACTGTGTCCGCAGTCTCTGGTCATCTCCTGTACTATATCCGCAGTCTCTGGTCATCCCCTGTACTATGTCAGCAGTCTCTGGTCATCCCCTGTACTATGTCCGCAGTCTCTGGTCATCCCCTGTACTATGTCCGCAGTCTCTGGTCATCGCCTGTACTATGTCCGCAGTCTCTGGTCATCCCCTGTACTATGTCCTGGCAGTCCCTGTCATCCCCTGTACTATGTCCGCAGTCTCTGGTCATCGCCTGTACTATGTCCGCAGTCTCTGGTCATCCCCTGTACTATGTCCGCAGTCTCTGTTCATCCCCTGTACTGAGTCCGCAGTCTCTGGTCATCCCCTGTACTGTGTCCGCAGTCTCTGGTCATCCCCTGTACTATGTCCGCAGTCTCTGGTCATCTCCTGTACTATGTCCGCAGTCTCTGGTCATCTCCTGTACTCTGTCCGCAGTCTCTGGCCATCTCCTGTACTATGTCCGCAGTCTCTGGTCATCTCCTGTACTATGTCCGCAGTCTCTGGTCATCTCCTGTACTATGTCCGCAGTCTCTGGCCATCTCCTGTACTATGTCCGCAGTCTCTGGTCATCTCCTGTACTGTGTCCGCAGTCTCTGGTCATTTTCTGTACTATGTCTGCAGTCCATTTTTTTCTTGTTTTTCACCTCTAAAACCTAGGCACGTCTTATAGTCAGGTGTGTCTTATGGAGCGAAAAATACGGTATGTAGCTGACATGACATAGAACATATACAGCGCTGACAGCTGGAGCACGTCTTAGGGAAGGGAATAGCTTGTTTGGGCAAGCATGGCCCAAACAAATTACTTAAATTGATACAAAACCTGGAATTAGAGTTTAAAGTAAATAGTTATTTCTTCAATGTGGCTCAGTGGTCAACATTTTTGTCTTGGACTAGGGCCATAGGTTCAAATCCCAACCGCAACGCTACATGCATAAAGTTAGTTATGTTAGTTAAATGTTCTCCCTGTGCTTGTGTAGGCTTG